CAATATCATCAATATACCATACTTATTAATAAATTAAAAAAATTATATATATTTGTTTTAGAGTTATGTTATCAATACATTGAGATTTTAGGGAATTTTTTTTAATCTGTTAAGGTAGGTTAATTTTCTTTTTAGAAAATTAAACCCATTGTTTTATACAACATGTCCATAAGATTGTGTTAAACATTTGTTAGTTTAATATTATTTAACAATGATTATGGGAGTCTCCCATGAATTTTGTGGCTACGGTTTTCCGGGTGGTCCCGGGTTCGCGCTTCGACTTGGAATCGTGATGGAGTCGCCACAGATCATTTTGAAGGAGGTAGATCGGATACATTGATTTCGCCCATTTACCGGATCTATTTCTTACCGTAAAATTATCGGATTCGGGAGTCGATTACAATCGGAGAAGGATTAACACCCTCGAATTGTCCTTTCGGTACCTCACGATTACCTTTGATGAGCTTTAATTGGATCCCTTTACAAGATAAATTAATATAAAATAATAATGATAATAAAAGTAACATAATAATAATAAATAAATAAATTAAAAGCTACAAAATAAAAAATATGAATTAAGGTACCAATTTAAAATAAGATTAAAAATAATAAAGGACTATATTGAATTGTATTGAAATTTGGGAGTTTAATTTTTAGTAGGTGACCAAAATGAACTACTTCGAAACTCCAGGGACTGCATAAAGGATTTAAAAATTCTCTCTATATAAAATGCCCCTTTCGCCAATTTAAAAGATGCAAAAAAAAAAATTAATTAGGGTACCAATTTACAATAAGATTAAAAAATAATGAAAATGACTAAATTAAATTGTATTGAAATTTGGGAGTTCAATTTACAGTAGATGACCAAAATGAACTACGCTTCAAAACTCCAGGGACTGCAGAAAGGATTTAAAAACACTCTAATTGCACAATGGTCTTTCGTATATAAATGCTTCTTTCACCCATTTTGGTTTCATTTAATCATTTCCTCAAAAACAAAAACCTTCTCTCATGCTCTTAATTCTCTCTCCTATTCCAGAATCTGACGACCGAAAACCCCTCTGACCACATTTGGTCAGTCACTCTAACCACCACCTATGGTGGCTGGGGAACCCTAACCTAACCCAACCGAAAACCCTTTCCACCCTCAAGCAAATCCTGTCGACCAAATCACCAAAAAACGACACCCTCGACGTAGATTTAAGCCGAAAGTGTTTAATTTCCTCACCTCTTCTCGATGACGCTTTGAGTTTCGGTGGCTCTCGGCTCTTCACGAAAGCAGTAATACACCAAGCTAAGTGCTTTATCTCTTTTCAGATTTTTTTGGTGTTCTTCTCTTTTTCGAAAACTCATCCCCCCAAAAATTGATCCTTTATCTTCTGTTTCACAGGGCTTTTAAAGGAAGGTCGAAAGTATAAAAAGAAGCCCTAGCACCACCATGATTTGGGGATTTGTTTCCCCTTTTTTACTCCGATTTTCTTTGACCGAGAGATTCTGTTGAACTATATTTTGATATAACAATTTATGGCAAAATGTTTTTGGACTTGAATTTAATTTATTCAAACTTTTCAAAGTTTTTCATTCCTATTTTACTTCTCTTGTAAATATTAGTGTTTAGTGAGCTTTAATCTGTAAACACCCTACCTTTGAGATGTTTTATTGTTGACTTCTTTTTACCTTTTGTAAAAGGGGATTGGTTCTAGTTTAGCCAAGTGAAAAATTAGGGAGTTGTAAAGGTTAATGTTGATCCTTGAAAAAGAAAGAACAAATTAGTAAATTTATTAGAAAATCCTTAGTGAGGAGCTAAGGTAGTGGAGTTAGACTTAGTTGAGAAGTCGAACCACCAACGTTTCTATCTTTTATTTCTCCTTACTCCCTAAACTGTTTTTTCCAATTCACCCCTCTTGCAACTTTTTCGGTTGTTCAATTGAGCTTCAAAAATCCCAACAGATTCATTGCCATGCATGTTGGGTTTCTCTCGATTTTGGGTGATCTCGCTGCCTTGTTTCGAGGATGATTGATCATATCCCTTTGATTCTTGCCATCTTGTGTTTTGGTTGCCATATTGGGTCAATTTGCTTTCATGATTTGAATATGTTGGTTGCCATATTTGTCTTTCAATCTGATTTTTGGCTTACGACTTGGTTTGATTTCTTGCCAAAAATGGATCAAAAAATTTGGAAATGGCCTTCGGTTTAGTGCGTGGGGCTTAGTTTGCCGCGTTTGGTCTTTACGCGTCGATCGTTGATTGATCGGGACTTTTAAGCATCCTCTGGTGTGTTCTGGAACGTTCTGGGGCCTTCCTAAACATTGGATCAAGGGGCCAGATCCAAACCTTGGTTTGGCTGTGCATTGTGACATTTCCTTTAGGGTTTCCAAACCCTATTTTACTTTCAATCTTGGTCATTGGTTCCTCCTTGATTATGTAGCCCTTATATGTGCGGCAACTTTAACTTAAGTGTAGAAAACCTAATGCGTATATGGGTTAGGTCTGGCCTGCATGCTCAAACAAGCTTTCCTCTGCTGGACCGTGACCTTTGCTTTTGGATTGAGACTTGAAATTGGACCCCGAATTGGACTGAACCTAAAAAAAAAAAAATAAAAATGAGTAAATAATAATAATCATATATATTATATATATTTTTAAAAAAAACCAAACTCATATTTTATAATATATATATGTAAATATTTTCAAAACTATACGTACTTTGAAAAAAATAATAATATATTATATTTTTAAAAATAATATATCTTTAAATTTATATATTATACATGTTTCGAAAACTATATTTTCAAAAATTTTTATATTATATATATTTATTTTCAACTAAAATATATATATATATATATATATATATATAGATAATATAAAAGCACTTGGAACAACTCGGGACGAAAATTGTTATCTACACTTCTCTCTTCTAAGACTTACCCTTATTTCAAAGCTTTGAACTTGGCTTCTTTTCTCCTCGCAACTCAAGGAACAAATTCCTAGGGTGGTACAAAGACATCACAGGGCCAGTCTTGTGGATTGCAAAGAGAAATAAACTGATTACTGATACAAGTGGACGTTGCAGAACTCTTGCATTCTGGATATAAACAGAAATCATATACTTCTTGAAGGAAGAAACAGAACCATTTGATCTTCTATGGTCCCTAGAAAACAGAAGCTCCAGTTGCAGAACTCTTGCATTCTGGAAACTTTTTCCTCAAACAGAATGTAAGCTTGAAATCCGAAACGTATCTTTGGCAGATCTTTGACTATCCATCGGACACATTATTGCCAGGCATGAAACTGGGGAAGAAATTAAAGATAAGAATAGAGTGGTCTTTATCGTCATGGAAAAGTTCGAAGGATCCGTACGTTACATTCAGACTTGACATTCGTGGCTCACCTTATTTAGTTATCAACAGTGGGTTGGCTAAAAGGTTCCAGACCGGACCTTGGAATGGAGTTTACTTCAGTGGTGCTTATTGACCAAGTTAGTGTTAATTTAGTTGGACTATTCTTTACATATTCAATCTAATCATGGTCTTTTGCAGAAGAAATTTCGGGTGACTTTTCGATATTTTTACTACCTAACTAATCTTCCATGGAATTAGAATATTATCTGATCAATGGACTAAGGCAAAGAAAATTATGGTTTTTTTTTGTAGAATGCAATGAAAAGTCCTTTTTTTACTGTGACCTCATTCAGACAAAAACATAAGTAGATTTGCTTCTCTTCTCAGCTTGCTGGTTTGTCCATTCCTTGCCTTCCAAGTTATCAATGGTGCTGATACTATTGAAATAGGTCAGCCTATTACATATCCCAACACAATTATATCAGTTGGGGAGAGATTCGAACTTGGGTTCTTTTATCCGGAAAATACCTCGAAGTATTATGTTGGCATATGGCATAAAGTGTCCAACCGGAGCATTTTTTGGGTTGCAAACAGAGAGTATCCATTCTCCGGGCAATCTTTGAATATTAGTATCAATGACGACGGAAAGCTTGTGATTTCAGATGACAAGATGGTCTATGATGTGACGGCGGTATCACCAAACACAACACTTATGCACAGCTACTAGATTCAGGTAACCTTGTTTTGCTCGATCGTAGTAGCTTACAAGTTTTTATGGGAAGTTTTAAGGATGAAACGAATGCTATTTTGCCTGGAATGACTCTTGATGATGTTAAATTATCTGGACCTAATCGACCGCCAGTGTCGTGGAGAACTTCAGAGGATCCAGCTCCCGGTTCATTCTCTTTGGAGCTAAAAGTTGAGATTTTAATTATTAAGAAGGGTTTCAAAATATACTGGAAAGATAACCGAAATCTCTTTCTAAGTTTCGATATGTCTGGTAAGGATATTGGAAATTTCCTAATACTTCTGAGGTTAGACAGATTGTACTGGATGAGCTTGGGCAGCTTAAGCTACAGTCTTGGTCTGAATATGACCAACGTTGGAATACATTAGAGTCTTCTAAGTGTCCATATCATCGATGTGGTGTTTTCAGCATTTGCAGCATCAATGCTGAAGCACCATGCACCTGTTTGGAAGGTTTTGAACCTATTAAGAATGGGGAATCTGAATGTTGCATGAGAAAGGCTGACTTGAAGTGCAGCACCGAAGAAGGTCAAGTTCGGACTGATGGATATCTTTTGATGCTTTTTCTAGATTATCCAAGTGGTGGACATGAGTTAAAACTAATTAGTAATGCAGCAGACTGCAAATCAGAGTGTTTGAGAAACTGTTCTTGTACTGCTTATGCTTATGACGTCGAGCTCAAGCTTGGATGCTTGGTCTGGTATGGAGATCTGTTCGACCTAAAGCAACTTCCACAAGATTATGTTGATGGAAATGACTTTTATCTCAAACTTGCAGCTTCAGAGCTAATTAAAAATGGTAGGACAAATAACAATTATGATCTGAAATATGCATTAACTTTGTCTTGATTCTGTTTTCTTATTTGAGTTCTTTCATATTCAATTTTGTTTCGTAGACATAAAATTCGACAAATGAAACAACAAAAGATCAAACGAACAAAGGAAACAAAAGGCAGCTTTGGATAATTATCATACTAACATTCTCTCTTTCTACTCTTGTTTTGGGGTTTGGCATTTATCTCATCAGAAAAAGGCTTCAGCCGAGAGGTAAAACTTGATCCCTTTCTATATTCTATAATGAGTAGTGTTCATAGATAACACTGTAAGTTCATTTTCTCTGCAACATTCAGGGGAGGATTTGCTAAAATTTGATTTGGAAATGAGCCTAGAAGAGATGATGATACAGACTTGAAGGATGAAAAGGAGCCTGGAATACATCGAAAACACAAATTGAAACTGCAACTATTCAGTTTTGCAAGCGTTTCTGCAGCAACAGATAATTTTTCAGTCGCAAATAAGCTTGGCGAAGGAGGTTTCGGACCTATTTATAAGGTATGAACCTTTTCCTTATCATTGCAGGGTTCACCAATGATTGCAACAAGAAGTTACAGTTTCGAGTCCCTAGCATCAGATGATCGATTAGGTCTACAATTGTGATAAATGTTACCAGGCCGAAAACATGTACATGGACTGCAATTTAAATCAAAACCAATCTAGTGCTTATTCATTTCAGGGAGTATTACTGAAAGGTGGTGAGATAGCTGTAAAAAGACTCTAAAGAAGATCTGGACAAGGATGGGAGGAGTTGAAAAACGAAGCACTCGTCATAGCCAAACTCCAGCACAAGAACCTTTCAGGCTTCTAGGATGTTGCCTCGAACGAGACGAGAAGATACTAATTTACGAATACATGCCGAATAAGAGCTTGGACTTTTTCCTTTTTGGTTTTCTTTCATCAGATGTTTGAATCTGTTTTCAATCCTTTTTAACTAAGGAACCAATAGAATACTAATTAGAAACATCCTGATGTACAACAGATTCGATCAAATGTATCGATTGGGAGACTCGTGTTCGGATCAACGAAGGCATTGTGCAGGGGCTTCTTTATCTTCATCAATATTCTAGATTGCGAATCATTCACAGAGATTTGAAGGCTAGTAACATCCTGTTGGATAGCAACATGAATCCCAAGATTTCAGATTTTGGAATGGCGAGAATCTTTTGGGGGGAGGAATTACAAGCAATTACAAATAGAATCGTCGGAACTTAGTAAATGAGTAATATTTGTGTCACTGACTATGCTTTGCATTGCATGACTGTGCACAATTATTAACAACTTTTGAGTTGAACGTTCACTTTCAGCAGCTATATGGCCCCGAAGTACGCTCTCGAAGGCCTCTTTTCAGTGATATCCGACGTGTTTAGCTTCGGAGTCTTACTACTGGAGATTGTGAGTGGGAAGAAGAACACTGGTTTTTATCAGTCTAATTCTCTCCGACTTCTCGCCCACATGAGTTTCTGAACTGTAATAACAGTTTTACTTCATGAATTCAAACTGTTTTACCATTCAGCTGAAAAACTCTTTTCTTTTCTCTCTCCTGTGATTGAAGGCATGGAGTTTGTGGACCAGCAACAGTCCAATGGATTTAGCTGATCCAACGCTGGAGAAAGTGCCAACACATTTGGCAATCAGATATGTTAACATAGGGCTACTTTCGTCCAAGAAATTGCAGATGATAGACCGACCATGTCCGATGTTTACTCGATGCTTACCAATGGAAGCTCGGTCTTACTTCTCCTAAACAACCAGCTTTCTTCAATGCAACAAGAATGGCGAAAGACAACTTGGAAAAACAGAGCAGGTTTGAAATTTGTTCTGTAAATGATGTCACATTTTCAGTCTTGGATGCTCTGTAATACAAAAATATGCAGTTTTTGTCTATTTATCTAACGGTATATATACGAGGACGAGTGTTGAAACTTATAAGCATATTATTTGAACCATTCATCATAGAGTAACTTTATTCCAAATTCCAATTCAATGAATAACAGGAAATCTCTGCTCATAGTGATGTTCCCATGGCTTGCAATGGGTCATTTCATCCCTTTCTTTCGTCTCTGCAACCTCTTAGCCTTGAAGGGTCATAAAATCTCCTCCGTTTCGACCACCGTAAACCTCTCTAAACTTCCCAAAATCCCACCATCTATCTTCCCGCATGACCTTAATCTCCTTATTAGTGTTTAAATTATACATTATTTCATGATTAATTACTCATTGATTAGATAATTTTAGTTGCTAACTTGGATCTTTTAATTCATTTTCGATGCATGACATTTAATTCCAGAAATTATGCTAAGAACAACTAAATCGTGCAATTTTTTTTTTCTAGATTCGTGACCGAATTAGTGTGGATGACTTGAGACTTGACACACCCGACATGACATCTAGTCAGCAGCTGATGTGGCAGTTGACGTGGTAATGACGTGGCATGTGATGTGGCATCCAGTCAACAGCTTCTAAAAGGCCCAGTCAGCAGCTTCTAGAAGATACAGTCAACCAATTTTTTGAATTCAAATTAGGATTTATTTTATTTTAGGAATTATCTTTTTAGTTTTAAATGTCATCTTTTAGGCTTTTTTGAGGACTATAAATACTTCATTGGGTAAGCCTCTATGCATCGATTTCTTCATTCATAACTCATTCAACACTTGTTTCTTTCTTTAAGTTTTTATAGAAGTTTTTTTTCTTTTTTTCTTTTCAAGTTTTTAGTTTACTTTCTTAAAATACTAAGCATGGATTCAATCATGCTTAGCTATGTTTTTCACAGCCAAAGGCTAAAACAATGACTCAATTCTAAGTCGTGAGGATCAAAAAGTGCTTCATACCCTCGAGGGTTACAATTTTAGTTTTTAAAAATTAAGGATCGTTAATCGACTATCTTTTTACATTCAAAGCAATTTCATTTCAAAAAGTGTACGTTGGAATTGAATTTCGGTTTCGATTAATAGTTGGGAAGAAGGATCGGCCTGTGGCACATTCGACATCCTATGAACACACTTAGTGGCGGTTCGCAATGGAAACTAAAATCGAGTTAGATTCTCAATTGAAACGATAGAATCCAAGTCGGGTTTTTCCAGAATTTAAAAGCATTGAATTAAAAAGTGATTGCCGCTATTAACTCATAAAGAGTTGAGATCTGAAAATTGATTTTAGATTCTCGATTTACTTGAGAGAAAAACAAGTTACAGGGGTTGGGCCCTGTAGATTGTAACCGACATGATCCCGAAGTTAAAATCCTATTCAATGATATATTAAAATCGAGGCAAAAGCTTTAGCCCAAGGCTGATTTTTACCAATTGAATTTTATTTTCTTAATTTACTATCTTATTTTATTTCAATCATTTTTATTACTTCACTTCAACTCTCCAAAATATCCCCTCTAATTTCCTTTACAAATCACGCCTGAAGCAAGATCAAAAGCGATGAAATTGTCAAACTCCTAGTCCATGTGGATCGACCCTTACTCACACTATTCTACTTATTCTTATTTATTTTATTGATATTAAGGCTATTTATTTTGACATAATAATGACACATGTCAAAATTGGCGTCGTTGTCGGGGATTTGGAAGAATTATTGATTTAATTTTCTTGTTTTTGATTTATGACCAGGAAGAATCAATGCACGTTAGAAGAATTTGATCCAGAAATCGAAGCGCTGGCGAGACGAATTCACAGTCAAACACTTCAGGAGAAAAGAAAGAAACGACAAGAACAAGAAAGTTCTAAAGACACAACTGATGCCACATACGAGGAATCAATAGATTCCACATAATCCACCAACTCATTCAACATCGATAACAAACCCATTGTCGATCCGATGCACAACGTACAACACCCAAAACCAATGGGTGATCAAACTATCCACGAACTAGTAGCAGCTCCTGCAGTACAACAACTACTCTGCATTGCCTTCCTTCAAGGTGAAACATCGTTTCAACTCAAAACGGGTTTGAAACATTTACTTCCTACCTTCCACGACCTTCTTAGCGAAAATCCGCACAAACACTTAGCCGAATTTCATTTGGTCTGTTCAAGTATGAAACCTCAGGGAGTATCCGAAGACCAAATTAAATTACGAGCATTTTCATTTTCTCTTTCTGGCATTACAAAAGAATGACATTTACTTACCACCAAATTTGATAAATTCTTAGGCTGATTTAAATCGTATTTTTCTTGACAGGTTTTTCCCAGCAGCGAAGGCAAGCGAACTGAGACGAAGCATCCTAGGAATTAAACAAAAGAATGAGGAGTCATTTTACGACTATTGGGAGCGATTCAAGAAGCTATGTGCGAGTTGTCCACAACATGGATTGACCAAACAAACATTTCTACAATGTTTCTATGAAGGTTTGCTTCCCATAGAGATGAAAATGATTGACACTGCTAGTGCGGGAGCTCTCGTCAACATGACACCAAACCAAGCAAGGGAGTTAATTTCAACGATGGCAGCCAACTCTCAATAGTTTGGCGCCACGGGTGAACCTAGTCGATGGGTTCACGAGGTAATTACCTTTCACTTGAAAATAAGATTGATAAATTAACTAATAATGTTAATTCCCTTGGTACGGGAAAGAACGTATGAGTTAGAGTATGCGGGATTTGTACGTTGCCAGACCACCCAACTGATTGTTACCCAACACTACAAGAACAAGTGAGCGCACAAGTGAATGTTGTGGGTAATTTTTCAAGACCTCCCCAAAGGCCATATAATCCCCATAGCAATACATACAATCCGAGGTGGCGAGATCATCCTAATTTCAGGTCTGTGCAAAACCAGAGGCTGAATGAAGCTTACCAACCAATGTCATCTCCACTGCAACCATATAAACCGCAAAAGAGTTCACTCGAGTCACTCATGGAACGATTGGCGCAATCCAAAGAAAAATTTTAGAATCGCACAGAGACATACAAGAAATTGACAAACAAATCAGTCAATTGGCACAAATTGTGGACCGCTTAGAATTATACGACAATATTCCCTCTAAAATAGAAGCAAACCCACAAGAGAATGCGAGTTCCATCACTCTTAGAAGTGGAACAATTATTGAGCAACATATCTAAAAGGGGTTGACTCCAAATCACATAAAGACGATGAAACAAGTGACGATAAATCCCAAAAGGAGGATGGCGCCACAATTAAAAAAAAGAAGAATCTGATACCCGAATCCGTACCATCCCCATATGCCATACCACCTTCTTTCCCATCAAGATTCATAATGAAAGACAAGCAAGCTGAGGAGAAGGAAATCCTAGACGTCTTTTGGAAAGTTGAGATCAACATCCCACTCTTATAAGCAATCTGTAAGGTCACAATATATGCTAATTTCCTTAAATAGCTTTGTACTACTAAAAGAAGACTTATCGTGCATGAGAAAATAAACTTTGGAGATCACGTTTATGCAGTTTTGACCCGATAACTTCCACCGAAGTTGAAGAACCAAGGCATGCTCGTCATACCTTGAAAAATTGACAAAGTGGGAATTAAGAGGGTGATGTATGATTTGAGAGCCTCAATAAATGTGATGCATTTATCCGTTTACAACACTCTTTCAGCCAAACCATTGAAGGACACAAGAGTTACCATTCAATTAATGGATCGCTCATTTATCTACCCAGAAGAACTCTTGGAGAACGTCTTAATAAAGGTAAACGAGCTAATCTTTTCGACCAATTTCTATGTCGTCGACATGGAAAACGACTGCTCAAATACTTCATCTGAGATTCTCCTTGGGCAACTTTTCCTTAGCACCGCCAATACAAAAATAGACGCGAGGAACAATATTCTCACAATGGAATTTGACGGTGAGATCATTAAATCTAATGTTTATAAGGCGATGTAGTATCTTGAAAATGTTCAAAGTATTAATTTTCTTAATGTGAATGAGTCTATAGTTGATGAATTTATTGAAACTAACTTTGTCGATAAGTTTTGCAAGGAATTGGACGACTTTGATGGTGAATTTAGGGAGTTTGAACTAACTTTTTCCATTAATTCTATTTGTTCCTGTGAAATCACTACACTTTTGAAATCTAAACTTTTACCTTCTGTTTTGCAGGCTCTTCAGATTAAATTAAAGGAATTATCGGATCACTTGAAGTAAGCATTTTTAGGCGATAATGATACTTTACCAATGATATATATCGAACAAATTAACCAAGGAAGAGGAAGAATATCTTGTAATGGTATTGCGTGCACATAAAGAAGCTATTGGTTGAACCATAGCCAATATTAAGGGGTTGAGTCCCTCAACTTGTATGCACAAGATTAAGATCAAACAAGGAGCTAAACCATCATAAGAAGAATAATGTCGACTAAATCCACCGATGATGGAAGTGGTAAAGAAGAAAATTTAGAAGCTTTTTGACGCCGATGTTATCTATCCAATCTTGGATAGTAGTTGGGTAAGTCTAGTTCATGTTGTACCTAAGAAGATCGATGTTACAGTAATAAAAAACCTG